AGGTATGTAAAACACGATAATTATTAAATGCTCAACCGTTTAACATCACAGTATCAGAATGTTTGTTTTTTTACTTTATAAATATTTCGGAAATGATAAATAATAAAAAAAAACAACACAGACTCAAATTTGTTTACACTTAGTGGTGCAGGTAGCAAGCCGAACCAACTTATTGAATGTTGTTTACACTCACAATTTCATCATACAGTAGATAGTATGATGATTAAAACAGCAAAGCAAGCCAAAATTGTCTCAATTCACATCACATGGGACATTTTTTCCAATTATGTGGTATCCATTCCTTTTTGATAACTGCATAAATTTTAGAACTATTTTTTGCTCTCCTTAGATGTATTCTTCAACCTAGTTCAGTGACCTAGGACGATGCAATGCAGATCTAGGGCATAGGCCTAAATGGGGAATCCCCACAAATTGCAACATGTGTGTGAAAAGTTACAACTTCAGTATTATGAAAATTGTATTTTTAATTTATTTAGGAGGATTTTATTAAATGTGTTAAACTTTAAAAGAATGTATTTCAATTATTGAATCAATATTCTGACCTTAAATTCCGATGTTGAGCACAAAAAATTAGTAAATTCTAGGCCTATTCTAACCTACTCAGTAAGTATACTGATCAAGGAGGTTCTGATCATCCCTGCATCTGATTGCACATGTGCAACCACTGTGTAGTGTATACTAAGAAGTTCAAATGGAAACTAATTTTCGTACCATGATATGCCACGATCTTCAGCCATCATCAGTGAATATGTTTGAATCGTTATTAGGCCTACAGGAAAATAATTTGTTAATAAAACATTGATAAACATTGTTCAATTTGTAGGATGCTTAAATACCATACAATTTAGGAATATCATATGAGTGAGTACTGTATGTGTGTAAACTGTCTCTTTCTTATCTGTGCCTGGGATAGCCAGCTAAGTCCTGGTCTTAGCAGCTGAGGTAGGCTGCAGGCTTAAGGCCTGTTTATACTTTAACGAAAACGATAAAAAAATTGATTGTTCATATAGAAAACAAAAGAAATAAGAGAAGTTTTCACACTAGGACGATTCGATAACGATTTATCGTGTATACGATAACAAAATATTTTCACAAATCAAATCAGATGATGTCTTAATCATGGAAAACGATAAAATCGTTGCTACTACTACGATTTTAATGTTTTTCCAAGATCATGACATCATCTGATTTGATTTGTCAAAATATGTTGTTATCATTTATCCGAATCGTTATCGAATCGTTCTAGTGTAGTAACTTCTCTTATTTCTTTTATTTTCTATACAAACAATAATAATTCCTTTTTAGCCTTTTTATCGTTGTCGTTATCTGTGTAGGCTACTGTAGCCCTATCTAACCTAGGCCTAGAACTCACGATACGATATTTTCAGCTACTGTATTGTATGATATTCCTCTCATGAATAAAATTTAGGCCTTTTGCAATTCGTGAAAGTTCAATGTCGCGAAAACGGCCGAAATGATCAATTTGCAAAAGTTGCTGGTTTTACAGTATCTAGGCTGAGCCTGAGCCTATTAAGAATATGTAAAAATATCAACTTGTTGTTTACAGCTCAGTAGTTTATTCTGAAAACTGTTTTAAAAAAAAATGTTAGAGAAATGCCATCAAATGGGCTGAAAAAACTCTAAAACCCTTGACCCCCAACCTGGGCTCTGCCCTGGACCCTGATGGGGGCCTAGGCGGCCCTCTATATCCCCGGCGTATTTGAATTAACTCTCCTGTTACTTTCAAATTTCTCCTGCTACTCAAATTCATAAATAAACCCCTGCTATCAAAAAGATTCATGGAAATAATTTAATTCATTTTGTAAATTTAATTTTAACAAAATTTTAGCAAAATCTGCCAAATTGCAGGTCTCATCTTCATAAGGTCCCCTAATTTGTATAAGGTCAAGTAGATTACCTTTTCTGTTGTAATATTAGAATTATGCCAAATAGGCATAGGATCAGAGTGAAGGGTTTTATTAGTTTATTCAGGTATTCGAAAGTATTCTTTCATATTTTTTAATTCATCTTTTAAAGATGCACTGTCTGCCACTCAAAATTATGAGTAGCTCATTTAAAAGTATGCAAATAAGTTATGAATTTCCATTCAGAAACGGAACAAAAAAAAAAATTGTGCTGATTTACAGACGTTTTACTACAAAAATCTTTAACTTGATTACCAGCCAATTTAAATGGCGGGTTGATTGGCCGAGCGGTTAAGTCAGGGGTACCGTAACCATCAGGTACATCATAATATTGACATTGGTTCAAACGGCTCACTCGCCAATGGTTCTGGTGGTGGAACAAATCTTCTTGGGATAAGGACTTTAAGCCGTAGGCCCAGTGTACGCATTTGACTCGTGTGCACTTCAAAGAACCCAGTAATCCTTCGAGAAGAGTAAGGGGTTACCCCGGTGTTCTGGTCTATTCAGTCCCCTGTTGTTTAATGGATATGCCACTGATTGGCATATCCTTGGCATTCGTGCTTAAAGAAATTAAATGAAATGTGTAAGCAATAAGTGTCCATGAAGGGTAATTTTTTTCTCATTCAAATTTTTTAGGTGGATTAGTTTTTAATAAGTATTCAAATATGAAATTAAATTTGTCAGTTTCTTAGCACATGACAGGCAGTATTATAATATTATCTTTAAGTTCTTCATATGGGCACTTCTCAGGTATCAGCTCATTCCTAACTTACTTTCATGCGAAATGCTCTACCCATATTTAGGCCCATCTTTTCCCCTCACCCTCCAACATTAGAGGCTTGGAACAAAAGTTCTATGATGAATGAGGTCATTGATCTACAGGTGGCGACAGTTTAATGATTTCATGGAAACTAGGCCTAGCCAATGTAATTTAAATGGTTAAATTTCAACTTTATAATAAGCTCATATTTGTCTAGGGCTTTAATTAACTTCCATTATAAAGTTAACCTTAGATGTTGTGTAACCATATGGTCAGAAGTATGAAAAATCATTCTTGGAGATTCTAGGCCTATAGAGTTATAAAAGTTATTATATTTTAATTCATACTTTCCACAGTGAGAGAAAGTGATTTATTAACCGTGCAGTATATAGCTGATTATTTCGAACCCTCTTGCCATATATTGAACATAAAAAAAACCCAAAAAAACGCACATGAAAACTGATACATTTTCAAGCAGCTTACAGCTATGAACTGTGTTTTGTTAACCCATTGTCTGTCTGTATAAAAGCGTGGTTACACTATACCAATAATGATTGACGATAAAAAGCTAAAAGATAATTGTTCTCATAGGAAATAAAAGAAATAAGAGAAGTTTTCACACTAGCATGATTTAATAACGATTGATCGTGTATACAATAAAAAAATAATTTCACATATCAAATCAAATGACGTCATATTCATGGGAAATGATAAAATTGTTATTACTACAACGATTTTTTAGTTTTTCGATGATTAATGATGTCATTTGATTTGATCTGTGAAATTATTTATTATAATATACACTATTAATGGTTATGGAATCGTACTAGTGTGAAAACCTCTTATTTCCTTTATTTTCTATAAGAACAATTGCTTTTTAGATTTTTTTCGTTGATCGTTATCATCATAGTGTAAACAGGCCATATGAATGATCGTGGCTTTTAACCATATAGCAAACACATCAGTTTCGGTAGGCCTTTTATTAAACTTGGTACCGTATAGTATGAAAAAAATAATGTTGAAAAAGCAGAATTGTTAAATATAATTTAAAAAACACATTAAAATAATTAAATATTACTTCAGTACTCTATTGAAACAAAAATACACATTGCTCATTCTCAGTAAATATGAAATGTGGAAATTTGACTCAAATATTTAACCCCAAAGTTTGGAGGTTGGTTTACATAATGGAAACTGATCCAAAGCAACTGTGACTCCTGACCTTGTAAGATGCTAAATTTATTCATACCTAGATACTTATATATAACCACATTATATTTACAGATTATTTTAATGCTACCTGCATCAAACTGCTTGGATTGTTAAATATTTACATTTTGATAAAAATATTATTACCATTTAATCAGTAGTAGAGTTGGGTTGGCAGTAAAGTGTTGTTTACATTTTGCGGTTGCAGATTAGGTGTAGAATTACATAACATTTGCATCTGTTTATTTGTTAAATATTGGCTTAACTCTGAATTCATTATGTTAATACATTTTTATATAATAATAATAATAAAAATTCTGGATTTATATAGCGCCTCACGTTGACACAACCTTGAGGCACTTAACAACAACAGAGAAGAAGGAAAATTAATTAAGTTCAAATGATTGGTTTGATGATTATCAATAAATGTTATTATTACAATGCTTTGGTAATAGGAATCATTTAAAGGCCTGTTACTTTCCTATTCATCCGAAATCCTTTCATTTTTCTTTCCCTTTTGCTTCTTGTCTTCCTTTCCCTTTTGCTTCTTGTCTTTCTTCCTTTCCCTCCATATCATGGTTCAAGTGAAAAATTTTAATCAAATAATTACTGAGAATTATGTAGTATACATTTGGGAACATAGTACATAACAATTAATCTAATCGGTCTACAGTACAGTATACAAACCTTATCGTATGGCTCACTTTTGCGCATCTGTTTTTCTATGTTTACTTTTTAGGTTGATGTTTCAAAGTTTATTAGAGGTTATCCATTTTTAAAAAAAGATTTGCATGATACAAAAATATTCCACCTTTTTATAATTCCTACTCTTTTCTGCAACTTTCTTCCCTCCCCAAAAGATTACAATGATAAAATAATTTTTGTTGTCAGTTAGAAATCGTAATTTTTAGAAAGTCTACATAATATGTGTAATCTCTACATAATATGTATAATCTCTCACACTAGTGTTTGTTTTGTACTCTTGTGAAAAATGATTTTGAAAGTAGATTACACCTTATACCCAACTAAACATTGGCTTCAATAAAAGTTTTATTAAAAATTTCTAATTTCTATTTCCATTGCAGATATGATGGAAGAGGACATCTCCACGACCTTTCAGAGTTTGATAAAGATTCATGGAATATAATACACAAATTGTCTGAGGAAGAATTGAGGATAGAAGCAGTATGTGACGAAGAGAGGTACTTAGCACTTAATACAGATCTTTTCGAGGAAAAACACAGGCATGGTAAGTTATCTAACGGTATATGTTAAATTTGTTACTTTTTGTGTGTCATTTAAAACCATGCTTGATCCATCTACCAGTCAAACTGATCAATTTTGGACCTTCGCTTCTCTCTAACCAAGCTTACAGTACATACATGGAGTAGACAATAAAGTATGACTGGAGTACAGTAAATGTGGAACCAGTGGCATACAGGGGATATATGGGAGCCCCCATGAAAAGTTTGCATCCTCAGTGGTGCATCCTCTCCCCCCCCCACCC